CCTGGAGTGGCCCTTTAATAATATAAACCCACCCAGTATAACTAACTGTAACCTAACCTACACAGTGCATCTAACGTGTGTGGGAGCCTGGAGTGTCCCTTTAATAATATAAACCCACCCTGTATAACTAACTGTAACCTAACCTACACAGTGCATCTAACGTGTGTGGGAGCCTGGAGTGTCCCTGTAATAATATAAACCCACCCAGTATAACTAACTGTAACCTAACCTACACAGTGCATCTAACGTGTGTGGGAGCCTGGAGTGTCCCTGTAATAATATAAACCCACCCAGTATAACTAGCTGTAACCTAACCTACACAGTGCATCTAACGTGTGTGGGAGCCTGGAGTGTTCCTTTAATAATATAAACCCACCCAGTATAACTAACTGTAACCTAACCTACACAGTGCACCTAACGTGTGTGGGAGCCTGGAGTGTCCCTTTAATAATATAAAACCCACCCAGTATAACTAACTGTAACCTAACCTACACAGTGCATCTAACGTGTGTGGGAGCCTGGAGTGTCCCTTTAATAATATAAACCCACCCAGTATAACTAACTGTAACCTAACCTACACAGTGCACCTAACGTGTGTGGGAGCCTGGAGTGTCCCTTTACTAATATAAACCCACCCAGTATAACTAACTGTAACCTAACCTACACAGTGCACCTAACGTGTGTGGGAGCCTGGAGTGCCCCTTTAATAATATAAACTCACCGAGTATAACTAACTGTAACCTAACCTACACAGTGCACCTAACGTGTGTGGGAGCCTGGAGTGCCCCTTTAATAATATAAACCCACCCAGTATAACTAACTGTAACCTAACCTACACAGTGCATCTAACGTGTGTGGGAGCCTGGAGTGCCCCTTTAATAATATTAACTCACAGAGTATAACTAACTGTAACCTAACCTACACAGTGCACCTAACGTGTGTGGGAGCCTGGAGTGCCCCTTTAATAATATAAACCCACCCAGTATAACTAACTGTAACCTAACCTACACAGTGCACCTAACGTGTGTGGGAGCCTGGAGTGTCCCTTTAATAATATAAACTCACAGAGTATAACTAACTGTAACCTAACCTACACAGTGCACCTAACGTGTGTGGGAGCCTGGAGTGCCCCTTTAATAATATAAACCCACCCAGTATAACTAACTGTAACCTAACCTACACAGTGCACCTAACATGTGTGGGAGCCTGGAGTGTCCCCTTAATAATATAAACCCACCCAGTATAACTAACTGTAACCTAACCTACACAGTGCATCTAACGTGTGTGGGAGCCTGGAATGTCCCTTTAATTATATAAACCCACCCAGTATAACTAACTGTAATCTATCCAATATATTACACCATGTATGTATAGGAGCCTGGAATGTCAATTTAGTGACTGAAGCAGTTCTGGCATTTCTACTTTGTGTTTAATGCTCTTGATTTTTTTTCTTTCTTAGTCATAATGATTTGTTTGATATTTACAGGGTGAGTCAAAAGACAGGAAGTGACATTCAATGTTGTTCAGCCATAAAGTTGATTTTATTTTGTATTTTCTTTGCAACCTGCAAGAAGCTGATGTTTAAATTAATATCTTCATCATCTAATATAAAGCACATATAGTTACTCACCCTGTACATTATGTTTATTTATACATAGGTACTTTATAATTCCCAATATTAAACTGGGAAGTGGGGTTATAGAGTGGGGCTTCAGTAACATCTCCTGTGTCATAGGCGACGCCTGAAAGGGCCATGGCCATCCAAAAAAGGGACAAGTGCGTCTGACGTGTACGCACAACAATCTGTTACTTTACTATTTCCAACAGCAACCAAGAAAAACCTACAAAACAAGTAGCCAATCAGAACAAAGGAATATAATGTGAGGACACTTAAAGGCCTTCCTCTTTCTTGATACGAAAGTTGACTTATACATGAAAAATGTAACAACATAAACATAACACAATTGCCATAGCAATAGAAAAAAACAACGATGAAGAAGATAGAATTCCACCGAACATCCAACTCCAATCAGGAAGAGGAACTTGATAGTGTGATCTTCACAAAATGTTAGACTGGGAAAAAAAAAAAAAAAAAACCTGTGAAAAAAACGAATTCAGAATTCAGAAAAATACATATGTCATACAATATTTAGTGAAACGAAAAAAACCCTCAATATTCATTACCAACTATTAAAAATGTATTTAATTAAACCTCACAAAATGAAATTATAATAATCATAATACAATGAAACAAAATACATGTGGAGCCTCCCATAACAACTCTAAACCCTTAAATGTGTACATAATAAAATGAAAATGATATCACTAGGCAATAAATCGTACAATCCTTCTAACGTGATGAAAAAAAACAGAGGATGGTGAAATATTCGCCTCCTGTCATTAAATAAATGTAAGATTATAATTACACTAAAGCTAGCATAATCTGACAGGAGGCTTTATATCTGCTTTTTTAACGCTGTGGTGATGAAGGCATTAGAAGAGGAAGGACAAAAAAAGGCGCAAAAAGTATCGTCGGGTGCATGATGTCAGTCAGTGAAGATGAAGCCGCGTCACAAACCGGATGAGTACCAATAGAAAGGTGAGTGTATGTAGCCAGCGGATCCATTTGGACAAAGTGGTGACCGACATTTGTCGATATGAGTGCACGTATGAGACTAAAAG